CAGAGAAGGGCAACAAGGCTGGTGAAGGGTCTGGAGCACAGGCCTGATGGGGAGCGGCTGAGGGAACTGGGGGTGTTCAGCCTGGAGAAGAGGAGGCTGAGGGGAGACCTGATCGCTCTCTACAACTCCCTGAAAGGAGGGTGTAGTGAGGTGGGTGTTGGTCTCTTCTCCCATGTAGTTAGCGATACGACGAGAGGAAATGGGCTGAAGCTGCGCCGGGGAGGTTTAGATTGGATATTAGGAAAAATTTCTTCACGGAAAGGGTAGTCAAGCATTGGAACAGGCTGCCCAGAGAGGTGGTGGAGTCCCCATCCCTGGAAGCGTTCAAAAAACGGGTAGATGTGGCACTTTGGGACATGGTTTAGTCTAGTCTACCCTTGATTGGTTTAGTGTGGACTTGGTAATGTTAGGTTAATGGTTGGACTGGATGATCTTAAAGGTCTCTTCCAACCTAAACGATTCTATGAATAGTAATATTTTTACCTGTAATCGGCAATAACGATGAAGCATTTTGCATATCCTGCCACTATCTTCTCCTGCGTCAAGCAACCACTGCACGAAGGAGAAAAAAAAAAAATATATAACTGCTTCTCAGTGTGCCTGACGGTCCTGAAGTCCAGTCCCCTCCACCATGTGCTTGCTGGCTTTGGTGCTGCCATCGCCCCATGCCAGCACTCTTTTTTTGTCCCCCTTGTCCCTTGCACACACTCTCAGTCAGGAGCCATCCCCCACTGCAGGTGCACGCACAGCCCTGCACAGGATCCCATCAGCCTCTCCAGCCCACCCCCGGAGACATCCGCAGCCAGAAAAAGGATGCTCAGAGGCCAGCGCCGCCAGTGCCGCACACAGATAGATGGACAGCAAGGCTCACCCGCCACCTTTGATAAGGTTGAGGTCAGAGTCCACTTCATCCGCTCCATCAATAGCGACATCAAGCTGTAGGAAGAGGAGAAACTTGGTGTGGAAACCTCTCCCATGCAGCATCAAGGCGCTGCTCTTGGCGCAGCTCGGGAGGGTGTCAGGTCCCAAGCAACAGCCAGAGCTGTCACTAAAGCTGGGACCACCTCGATGCCAGCCTGACCAGAGACGAGCATCTGATCAGCCACCCAAGGATACCAGCTCCAGCTAAATCACAGGCACGGGACAGCAGGAGAAAGAAAAACCAAAACCCACTGCTGGCCTTCAAGGCACATCATCTCAGCCTTCAGTGTTGTCAGCTAAGGGGTGGGGGGCTCCCAGGGAAAATCTTGGTCACGACACTTGAGCGACGCCATATCCCCATCTCAGGCCAGCAAGCCTCAGCCTGCAAGAGGTACCAAACACCTGGGGAAACACAACTCGGCAGCCTACTTGCCATCTAAAGGGACAAGCACTAAGACAAGACCAAGGCTTGCGGAAAGAAAAAAAAAATCTAAGCTAGTTCTCTCACTCATGTTCGCGTGGCTGCCTAAACTCTCGTCCTCAGGGGAGGACAAAGGAGCCTGATGCTTTATGAAGGACCAGATTAGAGGAAGGTCGGGTGAGGTCTCACCTCTGTGGTCCCACTTACCTCTGGATGTCGGTCCAAGTCACTTAGCGTTAAGCCGTTCTGCAGGATCAGCTGACGGGCCTGTGCATCAAGAAGACAGCAAACACCATTTACCGGCGGCAGGAAAGGAAAACAGACTCGTGGTGTCGTTCCCCCGGCTGCGGCGAGGACGGAGTCTCCCTGGGAGAGCTCCACTGCTCCACCCCGAGCTGGTGCGGAGGCTGCAGTCAGCAGCGGGAACGCACAGCAAGGAGAAAATGATGCTTCCAAACCGTATTGTTTTAAGCAAAAGAAAACCCCGCTGCTGATTTGAACTAAAATGCTCAGATGGTGCAACAAGACTACCTGGGTCCAGGTTTCTCCGTACTAAATAGCAGGAAGCCCCATCAGCTTGGTGGGAATCACTTGTATCTAAGGATTACAGCAGACAGGGGATTTTTGAGTTCTGTGTTGTTTCAGCTTGGTCATCATTCTCCCTCGCACCCATCCAGCCCCTCTGATTTCCTTTGGCTGAAAAATGGGAGCAAGAAAATGAAGTATTTACACTGCAGCAATGCAGGACTAACCATGAAAATAGTTTTCATATTGAAAAGAAAGAAAAAACCAAAAAAAGGCAAAAAAGAAAAGCACAACTCATGGAAAAAGTGTGAGAAGCCTCCTGAAACAGCTGTTTGGTGGCTCTGATCTACTTTTACTGAAGTGGCCGTGCATTTCCCTCTAGTGGCAATGCAACACAGAGCACCCAGGGTTACCCTCCACTTGGTCGGTCAGTTTAAAAGGACGTTCAAGCTTAGAAAACCTGGAATTGGTTGAAGTTTCTGTGTTACAAATCATCACCTGAGGGAGACTCCCCCCTTGCACGGACTGTGCTCGAGTCTGAACGTCCTACCATGCTGTAGGTAGTCCAAGAAACCCCAGTGCGATAGCCTGGATCAACCGAGTCCCCTGAATTTTACCCGCTAGCAAAGTGCATCAGTTGCATGTATTGGCATCCCAGAAACATTAAGAAGAACTAGCAGGTGGTACTCCTGGCAATGAGATAGGATTTGAATCACTTATGGTGGCATTTCATAGCATGCAGTTTTAACACCCATGGGCTGTGGGCTCTTGATCTGTGCACTAGGATTGCCCTAAGGACTCACAAAATTAAAAGAATAAAAATCAGTGGGTTTACATTCATTACAAAGTGTCCACGTAAAGAGGTATCAGGGATCTGGGAATTGAAAGCATTGAAAAAACACTGTGCTGCACATGCAGGCCAGATCCTGAACAGGCTTAGAGTCAGCGATGTGGAAACGACGTGGCTCTCTTCGGGCTCTCTGCTTGCAAGGCGATGGGGGCAGGCCAGCAGGAATCAAAAGCAGAGCTCCCACAGCTGGGGGAAAAGCGTTGGTAACTGCGCAGCACTTGCCAAGAACGGTCTCACCCCGTGTTCTCGGCACATGGCCGGTGAAAAGAAGAAACACAAAAGCCAAGGGACAGATACTTACCCCGGCTCTAGCTTTACTGATGGTGATGGAATAACCCAACCTGACAAGAGGGAAGGGAGGAGAATAAAAGCCCACTGAAACCAATTCTTCCTTGCCAGTGACCTCAGGCAGCCATTTACACCTGTACATAGTGAAAATAAGATGCTGTTTTGCTGACCTGGGAATGCTTCGCTCGGGTTTGGCTGAGGTCTAAGAGACTGCAAAAGATACGAGGCAGCCCCGTGTCTGGGGGGTTTGGGCTCCTGCAGGTGTATGATCTGTCTCTTCCCTTTAACAGCAACCTTTCTGTTTTACCGGTAAGAAACTCTGTAGTGTTACATGAACTACCCCAACATTTCAAGGCAGGAGAGGCTCCAGCCCACGTTCACTATGCGAGCTTTATCAATATTTTCTGTAAGACCTACTGACTGAACTCAGAGCTCTTTTCCTAGGTTCAAATGGGACATGGTATCTCAGGACGGAGGATCATTTTAGACAGATCAAAGACAGACTCTCACCAGTCTATATATGCAACAGAAGTACTGATAGAGGTTAAAAAAGAAAAAAAAAGATCTAGTTTTTACTTTCTGCCCTTTGCAGCAGTTTGTATTATACCCCAGTTGGCCACTGGTTGTTTGCAACAGCTGGGAAAAGAGAGAGTCCCATCGCCCCACACTCACACTTAAAGAACATCTGCGGGGTAAGAGGATGTTAAGTTTTCATAAGATTTTAGGATAATTCAGGTTGGTCCAGGTCAAAGCAGGCTCTGCTACCAGGTTGCTCAGGGCTTTACCCACTCAGGTCCTGAAAACCTCGAAGGACAGACTCTGCGCAGCCTGCCTCACTGCCCGATTGACCTCACAGTGAAAACGTTGTGACAAAAGTACAATGCCAAGGTCCACAGCAGGACCGTGAGATGGACACGTGCCCAATTCCTCAACCAGGGCATTGCCACCCAGCCTCAAAAACCCCACAGGTGGTCCCCGTCATGTCACCTCTCGCTGCCCGAAGGGGACAAGGTGACAGCTGCCTCTCTGCAGCGTGTTCCCACCCCAGGAACAGAGGCAGAGAGACCAAAGCCAGTGGCCTGAAGGCATGGAAGCAGCTCAGAAGCTTCCCCAGCAGCTCTGTGTTTCACCCCCAAGCCACGTTCTCCCTCTCCCTGCAAACCTCTCGACAGCTAGCTTGGTATGAACCAAGCCCTGCAAAAGCTGTGCAGCAAAGGAAAGATTAAGCTGATTTCTCTTCTGCAATTTCTTATAAAAGCCAGTTGATGCATTTCAAGTTCCTCCTGCAAACACATGAGCTTGCTATTATTGCTTGCGGTGCGATTTTTACAGCTTTCAGGGCTTGAGAAAGAATCAAAGGAGATTAAGTGTCTCCAATGAAGTTTGCATTATGAGTCTGGTTCACCACTAAACAGAATTTTTCTGCAAGCAGGACCCAGATCAAGCCACGCACCAACACTGACATAACCAGCATTACCACACTGGTTCAAAACACGCCTCCTCGCACTACGGCATCCCTGCAGCTCACGTCAGGGTGACACCACACCATCACCACCAGCTTCATGGGGTCCATCTGCAGGCTGCATCACGGCTGCTTTCGCCGGTGCTTTTGGTTAACCCACACTGCAGTAAGCCAGTCTGGAGAGCGGCGTGGCTGCCTCCCGCAGCCAAGGGGAAGATCCCCTGCGTGAGCGTTTGGCCTAGCAGAAAGCAAAGGAGGAAAGCGCTTACCTGAAAAGACGTAGGGATGCAGACAATCGTCAGGTTCTCCTGTTTAACCCTCTCGGCTGTAGGAAAAAAAAGCAGAAGCCTCAGTTTGTTCATTGCAGAAGGAAAAAAAAAACCACAACAACTTTCACTTTAAGAAATGTCAGTTCAGAGCAGCCCCTTTGAATCACTGTAATTACTTGCTCGGCTTGCAAATAACTCAGTCATGCTCAAAATGCAAACAGGTGCCACCCTGCATAGGCTAAGGCTCAGTTTCTACAGTCAGGAATGTTTAAACACCCACCCCTGCTCAGCCCAAGGCACCACCAGCCATTAACCTTTGCGTCCCCAGCAGCAGAGGAGCCTCGTCAGCAGATCGTCACCTGGGAAATTAGCCCCACTCCCCTCTCTCACTCCATTAGACAGGTTTTGCCGTACTCCTTGTAAACAGAAAGCTTCAGCAGCTGTCTGAAAGGTTTTCTGGCTTGTTGCCTCAGGGACAACACATTCATTTATTATAGAACATTTAAATATATGGCAGGGAAAGGACTAATAAAATACGGTATTCCATTAAATGGAAGGAAATATTTCCTCCCCCAGGTTAACCTCAAATGACTAAAATCTATTACTAAGACATCATTATGGATAAAATGTTATTTTAGTAATTACAATACTTAGGCATAAGCCAACAGCCCGAGAGTCAGGAACAGCTCTCTCAGCAGAGCAAGCGCACAGGCTACACGCGTCAAGGTAACGCTGCTGCTGGAAGGACTGAAGGTGCAACACGTGAGGCCGCATGTTGTTACAACCCACGTCCCCGTGCTAATGCCTTCCGCAGACACGAAAAGTCAGAATGTGCAGCCTGGGACAGACACGCCACTTTCAGTCCTACACCCATTTGTTGAGAGACTGATTCTGTGTTGGAGTCGGGAGGGCTTGCAACACCGAGCCAAACCTGGAACCGCAGCTCGCGTACAAGCGGGCGTACGACACACACGGCGTGGGGTGAGGTGGGTGCCCAGGGGCTGGCACAGCACCATCGCTGCTGCTTCCCGGCGAAGCCAAGCACCGCGCCGCGCTCCGACCTCAGCCCCGCT